TCTCCATAACATATAAGGGACTCACACCACTGAATAACAAAAAAAACAAACAGTCCGATCAAAAAATGGGCAGAGGATATGAAGAGACATTTTTCCAAAGACGACAAACAGATGGCCAATAAACACATGAAAAGATGTTCAACATTACTGCTCATCAGGGAAATGCAAATCAAAATTACACTAAGATACCACCTTATGCCTGTTAAAATGGCTATAATCACTAAGACTAAAAATAACAAATGTCGGAGAGGGTGTGGAGAAAAGGGAACCCTCATACACTGCTGGTGGGAATGCAAACCGGTGCAGCCACTATGGAAAACAGTATGGAGATTCCTCAAAAAACTAAAACTAGAAATACCATATGACCCAGCTATCCCACCACTGGGTATCTACCCAAATAACTTGAAATCAACAATCCAGAGTAACATACCCCTATGTTCATTGCAGCACTATTCACAATAGCCAATACATGGAAATAATCCAAGTGCCCATCGATCGATGATTGGATAAAGAAAATGTGGTGTATATATACACACATACACACACAATGGACTACTACTCAGCCATAAAAACGACAAAATCATCCCATTTGCAACAACATGGACGGACTGGAGGGAATTACGTTAAGCGAAATAGGCAAGACTGAGAAAGACAAACACCATATGATTTCACTCATATGTGGAATACAAACACACACATGGACAAAGAAAACAGTTCAGTGGTTACCAGGGGAAGGGGGTTGGGGGGTGGGCACAGGGGGCAAAGGGGAGCACTTACATGGTAACAGACAAGAAACAATGTACAACTGAAATTTCACAATGATGTAAACTATTATGAACTCAATTAAAAAAAAAAAACCTAACCTACTTGTATTCTCCAGGGAAGAAATCACATCTATTCATAATCAGCTACCCACACTAAAAAAAAAAAAAAGTGAGGGGGCCGGCCCCATGGCCGAGTGGTTAAGCTCCCTTGCTCGCTTTGGCAGCCCAGGGTTTTGCTGGTTGGAATCCTGGGCACGGACATGGCACCGCTCATCAAGCCATGCCGAGGCAACATCCCACATGCCACAACTAGAAGGACCCACAACTAAAAATACACAACTATGTACCAGGGGGGCTTTGGGGAGGCAAAGGAAAAATAAAAATCTTAAAAAAAAAAGGTGATACTTTCCTCCTGTGAACTCCTACAGTGCTGACAGTCTAAACCACCACGTGACATCTTCAGTTTATTACCTGCAATCACCAGTTACTTTTTCACGTATCATATCTCATTTCCACAACCATCATACAAAATCCTTGAGAACGGAAACTAGAGTTAACTTCTTTGCCTGTTGGTTCCCAGCACACTTTATACGTGCTGGCAAGTATTTTCACATGGATTGTTCCGCATCTATTACATCAGATAAGGAGTTTCCAATTGGGGCATGGTATTGCCAGGGGTTGTGTTGATTACATTTTTGTTGCTTTAGGCTCTTATAATACTGAGTCAGTAAAGCCCCTTTGCACTATATTTGGACCTGCTTTCGAAGGCTGATGAACAATCCAGCCTCTTAAGAAACAACTGAGGGGCCAGCCCGGTGGCGCAGCGGTTAAGTTCGCACATTCCACTTCTCGGCTGCCCAGGGTTCGGTGGTTTGGATCCCGGGTGTGGACGTGACACCACTTGGCAAGCCATGCTGTGGTAGGTGTCCCACATATAAAGTGGAGGAAGATGGGCATGGATGTTAGCTCAGGGTTAATCTTCCTTAAAAAAAAAGACAAACACCCTAAACTTAAAAATGGCCAAAGAATATCAACAGGCAACTTACAAAATAATATGATGATCAATAAACACATTTAAAATGATGTTTAATCTTATTACCTATCAAAGAACTGTCTAAACTCGCAGTGTCCATTTCTTCACCACTCTCTTTTTAACCCACTCCAAATTGACTCCATTCCCATCTCTTTCCTAAAACAGCTCCCACCAAGCCACTAGTGCCATCCATGTCACCGAATCCAATGGACATTTTTCAACCCTGTTTTACAGAGTAGTACAGGATTTAAAGTCACCTTCAGACTCTAAATCCAAGACACGTATTCTCTACCAAACTGCCTGGTGATTTGCTTTTAACTTAACTGCAAATTATTTCTCATACCTCTTTGCTAGCTCTGTCCTGGCTCTCAGAAGCTTCTACTAAGGAGGAGCAGTCTATTATGCTTCTACACATGATGTCAGGTTAAGTGGTTCTGCACTGGCTTGCTAAACGGAGAAATAAGTCCTCTGTCATTACCAATGAAGAAAACTGCCATCTCTAGCCCACTGGTCTTACATAAGATGATACATGTTTTCCCCTACTATCTACTTATGCACTTTTAAAAGACTTTTATTGATAAATAATGCATGATACATTTTCCTGGGCAGAGAAAATTCCTAATGGGCCAATTACATCAAAGCCAATTTATATGATATGTTTTAGGCCACCCAAGTCAGTCTAATGGTATTGAGGGTGTGTGCAGCCAGGGGTAGCACAAGGTAAGGATTTGTGAATAAGGGAAAAACAAACATGATAATAAGGTTACTGAGATTTTTTAGAAGAATTAATTTTAATATTTTCATCTTTAGTAACAAGAAGAAATCCTGCATATTTTTCTCAAAAGCCTAAGATAATTTCAAAAAATCTGTTCCAATCCTTCCTACTCCACTGCTAGTCCAGGTCCTGACCACCTGTCCCTTTTAGCAGGATAGGACAAGGAGAGGTCCTCTCGATACCAATCTCTTCTTTCTCACAGAGCCTGGATGCTATGTGTGGTTACGGAATTATCTTTAAAAAAAAAAAATCACAGTTCTAGTCATTTTGCTCTTCTGCTCAAACACCTTTTAATGAGTCTCCATATATAAAAGAAGTTCTTTCAAAATGTCTTAGCAAGGCACTTAAGGACTTATATTATCTGATATTCATATATCTTTCCAACTTTTTCTTTTCTTTTCTTTTCTTGGTGAGAAAGATTGTTGCTGAGCTAACATCTGTTGCCAATCTTCTTTTTGCTTGAGCAAGATTGTTGCTGAGCTAACATCTGTTGCCAATCTTCTATTTGCTTAAGGAAGACTGTTGCTGAGCTAACATCTGTTCCAGTCTTCCTTATTTTGTATGTGGGACGCAGCCACAGCATGGTGGGTGTGCAGGTCTGTGCCAAAATGTAGGCTGAGGAACCCTGGGCCTCCAAAGCAGAGCTTGTGAACTTAACCACTATGCCACCAGGCCAGCCCCCCAAACTTATCTCTTTAATCATTAAGGGCCTGCTGGGGAATTTGGAAGAACGAGCATACATTTATGTGACAATGTGAAGGATGGACCCAAGAATGAAGAAAGTTGACAAGTTTAGTAAGGGGCCATGAAATAGTTCGAATGTCACAATAAGAAAGTAAGCCACGTTGTAGATACTTCAGTAGAGAAAAAGGGTCAGATTCAAGAGCTATTTCTAAGGCACATGGAAAAGATAATGACATCAGGTAGGATATGAGTGGTGAGGAAGAAAGAAGAATTATGGATAACACGCAAATTTTTTGCTAGTGAAATTGCTGAACCATTAATCAGAGATGCAGAAGGCAGAGCATGCTTCAAAAGCATGAAGAGTGGGGGCTGGTCCGGTGGCTGAGTGGTTAAGTTCACGCGCTCCGCTGCAGGTGGCCCAGTGTTTCATTGGTTCGAATCCTGGGCGGAGACATGGCACTGCTCATCAAGCCACGCTGAGGCAGTGTCCCACATGCCACAACTAGAAGAACCCACAACGAAGAATACTACTATGTACCGAGGGGCTTTGGGGAGAAAAAGGAAAAAAATAAAATCTTAAAAAAAAAAAAGCATGAAGAGTGTGTAGCGTGTGATAAATTTAGTATTAGACGTGCTTCATTTAACATGTCTAGAGCGTGGCACTGTACCTCAGGCAATCAGAGATTAAAGATTTGGTAGTCAAGGCCGAAGCAGTGGACAGCCTCGCTGTGACAGATCAGAGAGCCAAGAGGATAAAGGTTGAAAGGGCCTTCAAGAATGCCCCAATTACTTTGCATCTTTTAAAATATTTAAATTTTGCTGAAACTGTTGGTCTCTGAACTCTCAGACTACAAGATTTCTGAAATCAGGGGTCCTGGGTGATTTAGGGAGAGAAAAGCCCACCGTATTAGCTCAGGGGAGAGGCGGTCAGAATCAGGACCTGGGGCTCGCTCTATGACCATTAAATTCACCTGCTCTTAATCTTCTTTAAAGACAACTCGGTAAGCCTTGAAGGGCTTAGGCGAACCGGAGCATTCCCAGTAGGTTTAAACACAAGTACATACCCCTCAACTTGTTTTTCTAAGTTTATTGTGTTTCCACCATAAAATAATTTCTAATTCTTTACACTTATTTAAAAACATAAATTAACCCTCAAGAAATGTAAAAAGTAAACTCACAAAAAAACCTTCATCCAAAGAAAATTATGACTCCATTTCCCCGACTTTTTTCTATGCAGTTTTGGTTAAACTTTTTCAATCACAACTGCACAATTCTTATCACGATTTTTTTCACTTAACACTATATATTAGCATTTTCTCATGTTATTCAAAAGTTTTATAAATTACTTTTAGAAAGTCACTTAATATTCACTCAATGAAGTTGCATAGTTTTTCCTCATCGTTGAGACACCTGGTTGTAGCCAACTTTATCCTATCATAAATAACGCGGTGATAAAGGTCTTTCCGTACTAAGCATCTTCTTCATTGTGGAGGGCTTCCTTAGGATACATTCCCAGGAGCGTCACTCACGAGCCACAGCGAATACATTCATTCGTTTAAACCCACCCCCGGCTCGGCCGCCGCCGCCAGCCCCTCGCACGCGGGCCCCTCATCATCTCCTCCTCCTCTCCGCACACCTGGGTGTCTTCCACCCTGCCCCCAAGCGCTGGTCCCTCCACCTCCCTCCCCCGCAACCCACAGCATCCTGACACCCGCCAGGCCGGGCAGCAGTGGAAACAAAATACCTTCGGTCTTACTGCCCGACAAAATACCAGTCTCCCAAGGGCCGACCCGGCCCGCCTGCCGCGGCTCCACAGCAGTGAGCGAGAATCGGAAGCATCGGCTCCCAGGCCTCTGATAGGTGAGCGGTGGCCGGGCAAGCTCGGCAATGCCCCCTGCCTATTGGCTCTTGCTTGTGTCACGTTAGGAGGGGGTCCTTCCCATTGGCCAATAAGCTCGGGCTTTGCCGCACGGATCTCAGGGAGTTGTAGTCTCTGTGAAAACTTCCACTGACTGTAAACCAGCCACAATTTCTCCCTCCTTTAAGAGATTTATCGCCTTCCCCCACTTCTCATCGCTTCTCTCAGTCTAAGAAAGAGTTCAGGAGCCCTAGCGTCAACACAGTTTCTTAACCCTTTTTGGGGGGGGGGGGCGGGGAGCGATAGGGAAGAGGGCGGAGTAATGGGAAGGAGTAGAGGACCTCTTGAAAACATGATAAAATCTCCCCAGAAAAATGTTCTTAACCATACACAAAATATTGTGCATTCAACTGGAGCAGTTACAAACCCCTGTTCTACACTTACGCCAAAAGTGCCTGCCCGTGGCCATAGTCCAAGAAGCTAGTGTGTCAGTAGGCTTTACACCTGCTACGCTCCTGGGAGACTCTGGGCCACGCGGTGGAGCAGCCCATGGGGAATTTCAGATCCTGACCCTCTTAGTACAGTCGACCATCATCTTTCTTGAATAACAGCCGGTCCTCCTTCAGCGATGCAGATAACCGGAAATCTCTGACCTAACCACCAGGGAGAGTGGGGGTAGGGAAATGGAGGAAGAACTCCTCTAGGGCCCACTCTGGACGCCGTTGTTCAGGCTTTTCTCCCCGCGTCTATCTTCCAGAGCCACTTGTCAGAATCATACCTTCACATCAATTTTTGGAACAATGCAGGGAAGAATGAAGGAAAAAAATAATTTCAAAGTTCCATTCATTCTTCAAGCAAACGTTATCTCCTCCAAAGATAACTTTCCAGATTCCTGGATCTCTTTTGGGTGGCGTTAAAGAGTCTGGCGTGGAGGAGGAACTCAAGGTCGAACTCGCTCATCATCCCACAGCACAAATCATTCCCGGCTGTAACCCATCAGTCACAGATTTAGTTCTTTGAGGGCGGCGATTCTGTCTTAATTCAATTGGTATCCCCAGGGCGCATTTCTTTGCCTTGAAAGGTGGGAACTCACCTGTGCGTGGGGCAGAACTACGCAGGATAGTGAATAGGGGTTTAAGGTGGCTGGGGTAGGATCAGCAATGACTAGTTTCTTCCCTCCCATTCTCCTACCCCCCGCCCCACACCCCCACCCCTACATCCATCTTGCTCCTACAGATTCGGGCAGCCTGGCTAGGGTTGGTAACTCTCTGGTACATCCGTCACATCCTGAACTCCGTGGTGGTGAGCGCATCCGACTAAAGTGTTGGTTTAGTTTCCGGCCTTTCCCTAGCCTGTGGGACTGGGTTGACTCCCCAGAGCTTAGCAAAGAGTAGGTGCTAGATAAATATGTGTTGAACGGATGGATAGATGGATGGATGGATAGATGGGTGGGCGGATGCGCGACTGTCTTCACGCTCCGCTCACCATACTCGCCAGTCAGTGGGTTGACTGTGATAGCCGGGCCGAGCTCAGGAGCAGCCGCGTCAGGGTCCCTTCCCCCGGGCCCCGCCCCGGCCGACCCCACCTTTCCGCGCCGCTCCGCCCCGCCGCCCCCTTCCCCGTCGCCCCTCCCTGCGCAGGTCCCGACTCCAGCCGCACCTCCTCCGGCTCTGCAGTGGCGGCGGGGAGGCGAGCCGAGGCGTCAGCGGGGCCGGGGCCGGAGCCGAGCCGGGGTCGGGGCAGCAGCGGGGACCCTCGGAGGCGGGGCCAGTGGGACTGCGATGGGCGTGGAGATCGAGACCATCTCCCCGGGAGACGGTACCGGGCGGCAGAGCCGGGGGAGGAGGAAGGGTCCCGGGGCGGAGCCGGGCGGGGGTCTGATTCCGAGGTGGCGCGGGGAGGGGGCCGAAGGGGGGGCGGGCCTAGGATGGAGGCGGCGGGAGGAGACCCCAGACAGGATTGTTGGGGGTCTAGCCCACGATCCTCCGCCATCCCTTTCCGCGCCCGCTCACCCGGGGGAATGAAGGCGGCGGCTGGGAGGCGGGGGTCTGCGGCCCGCCACCTCCCCGGGGGCCTCGGGCCGTCGTTGCTGCGACTGGAACCGCTCGGTTATCCGCTACTGCTGATTTCCCTGGGCTGGGTTTTTAGCTCTGCTTTCTCCGCCCTGTTGGGTGAGCTCTGGAAACAGGGGAAAGGTCATGCTTTGGGGTCTCTGCTCTCGGGGCAACCCCTCTGGTCGGGCTGGGTGATGAGATGGTGTAGGGACGGAGCCAGTCTGGGAAGGGAGAAGCACTCCCTCCGCCGCCCCAGCATCTTGCTGTACCCTCCCCGCCCCACTCTGCCTCTCCAGCCATCCTGTACACTCCCGTGGCTGTCATTATCGTCTGCAAACCGATGGCCTCCAAACTTAAGCCTCCAGCCCAAACATCCCACCTGAGTTCACAGTGGTCCATTTATCCGGCTTCTGCTCGACCTCCACCTGGATGTCCCACGGATACCTCAAAGTCAGGAAGTCCAAAACTGAGCCCGTGTTCCTCATCTTCCCCACCCGCCGGCACTCCTCTGTGTTCCCTGCCTCCAGGACTGGCACCACTCCCTTTCCCAAGCCAGACATCCCTTGTATAATTGGGTCTGGGTGTACAAGGAGTAGCCTTTTCTTTATTTCTTAAATAAAACAACTCAGACTGGAGGCCCCATTTCTGCCGGATTTGACAGGCAAACTTCATGTCAGACAGTAGTGACAATCCCCACCCTCCCCAGGAAATTGGAGATCCTCTTGGTTCCAGGCCACCCTCCTTGTTGGAAGGCAGTGATTCCTTGGTGTCCCAGCTCCAACCCAGCTTACCTGTGGGTTACAGGCTTCTTTACTCACTGGGCACCTTGGTGCTGGGTCCCAGGAAGCATCTCTCTGAGGCCTTGTCGCCCTGCAGGGCACTGCCATAGAGCTCTGCCAGAGAATTGAGGCCTCTTCTCTCTTCCCTGGCTCAAAGAAGCCTTTAGAATTTTCTCTCCTTATCCTCCCTCCCTGGCCAGGGACAAGGGGCATTTTCTCCAGAGGGATTAGATTTCTAGGGAAAGCCTGAAGGAGCTTTGGTCTGCTTTTAGCCCAGTCTAAATCCTTGAGTCAAGGAAGAACAAAAGGACCAAGCTGTTACCCAGGAGGGCAACATACAAGTGACTATTTCAACAAGTATGCTGCCGTCCTGGGGACGCCTGTCTTTGTTGGGTCCCACAACAACTCCTGTCAAGCCCTCCTACTCACTATCTCTAGTCTCCCTCCCGTCAGCCTCTTCCCTGGTTCAGACCACCATCATCTCTCTCGTTTTGATTTCTGCACAGCCTCTAACCTGGTCTCCCCACCTCCAGTCTCACCTCCCTGCCTCCAGTCTGGCCTCCCCACCTTGCCACTTATTTCCTACACCACTACCTGAGGAGTCTTTAAAATGCATATTTGCCATGTCCCCCCCGCACCCTCACCATAAAATGTTTTAATTAATCGTCTGTCTCCTTCTCCAGGCAGATGGTGATATAGCCTATTCTTACCCTCTATACTAGAGCCTCATCTCTCACTACCAGTTTCTACCCCCACTACCAATTTTTTTCTCCAGCATTAGCAAGCTGCCTGCAAGTTGTTAAACACACTAGTCATTCAGCAAATATTTATTGAACATGTACTGTCTGCTAGGCCCTCGGGTTACAGCAGTGAACCGGACTGGGCTCCCTCTATTGCTCGACTCTAGGCCTTTGAACATGTTGTTCACTCTTCCCAGATTATCTCCCTTTACTTACTGTGGCAAACTACTCATCTTGAAGACCCAGTTGAACCATTATCTCCTCTCTAATGCTTTCCCTGACCTCCACAGTCGGTTCGTTGCTCCCTCTTCCAGCCTGCCACGGAGTCTTCTAAACGTTAGCTCAGTTGTTAGCCCTTCCAAAGCTTTGTTATCCAGCCCCATGGCTTTAAATTCCACCCAAATTCATACTGCTAGTGCAGACTCTCCATCTGCCTACTTGCGATATAAACTCAGATGTCTAATAGGCATCTCAAGATTGCCACCCGCACATGTCTGTTCTTCCTCATCTCAGGAATTAGGTCCACCATCCAGCCAGTTGCCCAAACTGAAAACCCTAGCATTGTGCTTGATTTCTCCTTCTTCCTCATCCTGGACCCCATCTCCACTCCATTAGCATACCATGTCAGCTCTGCTTCCAAAATATCTCTCCAATCTGTTTTGCTCTTTTCTCTGCTGCCACCACGTTAATTCAAGCCATCATTGATTTCCTGTCTGGATTGTTGCAATTGGCGCCTAACCGTCCATCCTGCAACAGCAGCCAGAGTGATTTTATACCATCTTAATTCAGATTATGTCATTCTCTTGCTTAAAACCTTCCAGTGGCTTCCTATTGCACTTAGAATTAAATCCAGCTCTGCAAGACCCGGCATGATCTCGCTCTTTCCCACTTATCTCCTTCTCCCTCCCTTCTTTCCAGTTACCTGCAAATGCCTCAAGGTTTGTGTACTTGCTGCTCCCTGTTCCTGCAGTGCTTTGCCCAGCATTTTGCTCATCGTTCAAGTTTCAGCTCAAATATCACCTTCTCTGTGAGGCCATCCTGGACCACCCTTTCTAAAATGTCCCACTGTATCACTCTAATTCATCATTGTGTTTATCTTCTTTAGAGAACTTATCACAATTTCTAATTATCTTGTTTGAGTATTGTTTGTCTCCCTCCATTAGAATGTAAACTCCTGGGGCCCGCCCTGTGGCTGAGTGGTTAAATTTCCACACCGTCTGCTTCGGTGGCCTGGTTTACGGGTTCAGATCCCAGGCGCGGACCTGCTCCACTCATCACCCATGCTGTGGAGGCATCCCACATACAAAGTAGAGGAAGACTGGCACAGGTGTTAGCTCAGGGCTAATCTTCCTCAAGCAAAAAAAAAAAAAGAGAGGAAGATTGACAATGGATGTTAGCTTGGGGTGAATCTCCGCACAAAAAAACACACAAAAGAATGTAAACTCCAAAAGAATAAGAATCTTCTCTGTATGGTTCACTGCTGTATCCCCACAATCAGACCCAGTCCTCGCACATAGTAGGTATTCAGTAAATATTTGTGAATGATTATGTTTATTCATCCTTGACTGCAGTCATCACCTTGCGTTATAATCTGTTATTTATGTGTCTGTTTTCCCAACTTCATCATGAGTTCAGAGATTGCTTTGTGTTTCTGGAATCTAGTCCAGGCCTGGCACATAGTAGGCTGTCAGTACATGTTTGTGGAATGGATGAAAGAAAGTAAAAGGAGCAATCAAAGAACGGAAAAGAACTAGGAGAGAGTGGAGTTGAGGAACCCAAGGGAATAAAGTTCAAATCAAGGCCACAGAGGGAAGGTGACTTGTCTGGCTCATACAATGCAGAGCCAGAACTAGAGCCATGAACATCTCCAGGGTACGGAGGGGAATGTGGAGGGGAATCTTGGTCACAGTCACACCTGAACGTCCCAGGCGACTTTTTCCAATACCCTATTCATTCATCTGCCCATGTCTCCTTGCAGGAAGGACATTCCCCAAGAAGGGCCAGACGTGTGTGGTGCACTACACAGGTAGGCCTCGCTCCCTCAGCCCTCATCCAGACCTGCCCATCCCAAGGCAGCTCTCTGCTCTGATACTCCTCTCCAGAGGTATCTGCTCCCCTGGATCAGCCCCAAAGCCCCAGGCAGCCAAGTCTGCCTCTGACCAGCCCTCCCTCACTTCTCCCAGCCAGCTTGCAGGAATGAGAGGGGGGCTTGCAAGGTTAACCCCTGCCCACTTATACCAACAAGAGCCATTCACAGTGCCAGCCTCTAATTGAGCCAAGCACCTCCATTCCCCTTCCCTCTGTCTTGGGCTGGGTGGAGCCCTGTCTCTTGTTTCTGTCTAATAGTTGGAAATCTCTTAAAGCTCTGAGAGCCCTGACCCTCCCTTCAGACTCCCTTTTCATCCTACCGCATTATTAGAGAAGAAGAGGATGGCTTCCTCAGAATTTCCTTTCTTTTTTCAGAAATAGACTATTCAATTCAGCCTACTGTTATTGAGTACTTACTGTGTACAAGATACTGTGCTGGACACTGGGGCACAGAGATGAAAAGGGAGGATTCCTACCTTCTTTGGGGCTGTGCAGGGTAGGGGAGGGCAGCCAGGTCATCCAGAGGCTCTGATGCAGTGTGAGGGGTGGGGTGATGGCAGTGCTTGTCTCGGGGAGCTGTGGGAGCTGGAGGAGGTCGCTTCTCTGCTGACCCCTCTTGGGTGATCTGTATTGGAAGGCCAGGTGGGCTGAGGAACATTCTAGATGGAGTTCCTGAAGACTGCTGGCAGGAAGATCACAAGCAGGTGTTTGTTCCAAGGGAGGGTGAGTGTTCTGCCTTGTGACCTGCTTCCCAATGTGGCAAACTTGGTGACAGCCACTTAGCAGACAGTAAGGCCAATTTAATTATGAGGACATATTCAGATGGGGCCATTTTTAGCAGTTCTCTGGGCCAGCGTGAAGTGCCAGGTTAATTCTAGGCAGACGGTGTGGGTATTTCTCAATAGCTGTGTTGCTGGTCACTGACGTCAGTGGGCTGGAGCTGTGTTTTATCTCCCAGTGATGTGGCCTAATTACCGTGAGTCCTCTGGGGCCTCTGACCTGTGTAATTGATTTATCTGTTCTACATGTTGCAGACAGACCAGTACTTATCAAGTTACTGAAACCACAACATCCTTTTGCAAAGACTTTTCACAATACATGCAGAGAGCAGGCAATGTGCGTGAAACACTAACATCAGCCATGAGCCACTCTGGTTTGGGGACGGACTGTCTCATCAAATGCAGCAGGAGACTGTATGGGGCTTTTTGGTAAACTTTTTCATTAAATATAAATACAGTAGAGAACATAAATCTAAGATGTACAGCTCAATGAAATTTTTCAAAGTGATCACACTTAACGTACCCACCACCCAGATCAATGTACACATTTCCAGCACCCCAGGAGTCTCCCTCATGCCTCCTCCCAGTCATTATACCTCCCTAAAGGTAACAGCATTCTGACTTTTGTCCCCATAGATTGCTTTTGCCTGTTTTTGAATGTCATATAAATGGAATCGTAGGGTATGTACTTTTTCGTGTTTGGCTTATATTTCTCAATATTATGTCTGTGAGATTTATCCAGAGTGGTTTGTTCTTTTTTATTTTGTATCGCTCATTGTATAAATATACTACAGTTTATCCTTTCTATGGTCAGTGAACATTCGGGTGGTTTATAGTTTTTGGCTATTATAAATAGTGTTGCTTTGAACAGTCTTGTAGATGTCTTTTGGTGCACATATGTACACATTCCGGTTGGGTATATACCCAGAAGTGGAATTCTGGGGCACAGGGTCATACCTATGCTTGGCTTTAGCAGATACTGCCAAACCCCTTTCCAAAGTAGTTGTGCCAATTTTTACTGCCACCAGCAGCGTATGAGAGTTCCGGTTCTCCTGCATCCTCGTCAACACTTGGTTTGTCAGATGTCTGTTTTGTTTTTGGCCCACTCTGGTAGGTGCCCAGTAGTCTCTCGTTGTGGTTTTGATATGCATTTCCCTGATGACTAAAGAAGTTAGTCAGAGTACCTTTTCATGTGCTTACTGGTCATTTGGATATCCTCCTTAGTCTGCTCAAATTTTGTCCGTTTAAAAAAATAAGGTTGTCTGTCGTCGTCTTATTGATTTATAGGAATTCTTTATGTATTCTGGATATGAGTCTTTGCTGGTTATACCTATTCCAAACATCTCTCCTGCTATGGCTTGACTTTTTACTCTCTTAATGGCATTTTTAAAACAGAAGTTCTTAATTTTAATGAAGTCCTACATATTGATCTTTTCCTTTATAGTAGTACTTTCAGTTCAGAAATCTTTGTCTATCCCTAGGTCATGAAGATATTCTTCTATTTATTATCTTGTAGAAGCTTTATTATTTTCCCTTTCATATTTAGCTCTATGAGTCATCTGGAATTGATTTTTGTGTGTGGGCGAAGTAGGGGTCAAGGTTCATTTTTTCCCCATATGGATATACAGTTGATCCAGCAACATTAATTTAAAAAAATATCATCCTTTATCCACTGCATTGCAGTGGCACCTTTGTCAAATCAGGTAACCATATATATGTGGGTTTGTTTCTGGACTCCACGGTTTTGGCTGAACTTGTAGCAGTAGTTAAATACATATAGTCTGAAGTAGATTAAGTCATATGAAACCTGAAGAAATTGGGGAATGAGAAAGTCAGTTTTAAATAGAGTGTGTGTGTGTGTGTGTGTATGTGCGTGCGTGCATGCATTCCATATGTGTATTTGTCCAAGTATGTGTCTGTGTGAATGTATGTAGATCTGTGTATCTAAATATTTTCTTAGCATCTGTTTGGCCATCAGGGTTTTTCTTCTGCGTGTGTGTACATAAGTGCATGTGAGCATGCAGGAGTATCTCTCTGTATCTGACTGTCTTAGCAACCTGTGTGTATGCATGTTTGTATTTGATCCCCGTAGTATCCATCTGTGTAGCCATGGGGTTTTCTCTTTTGCCTGATCTAGTACCCATGGCAAGAGCCCAGTTTATTCTACCCAGAAAGCAGGTAAATGAGACTGTCCCTTGTATACATTTAAGTTGTAGGAATTAGGAAGAGGAATCACAGATGCTCAGACATCACGCTGGCCCAGACCTCCCATGTTAAACATGGCAAATCTGAGGCCATGAGAAGGGAAGTGATTTGCCTAACTTCACACAATGAGTTAGTGCCAGAGTGAGGTCAGAATCCAGTCTCTGAATTATAGGCCAGGTCTTTCTCTGGTCCCAAATTGCCTTTTGTTTTGGTCCACGGGCTGCAGGAAGAGGTTGTGGAATAGCGTCATTTACAGAAAGTCTGATCTTTGAGTCAGTCACCAATAAGAATTGAAAATAGAAAAGCAGCTCTTGGGGCTGGCCCCGTGGCTGAGTGGTTGTGTTTGCATGCTCCGCTTCAGTGGCCCACGGTTTCACAGGTTCGGATCCTGGGCACGGACATGGCACCACTCATCAAACCACGCTGAGGCAGCATCCCACATGCCACAACTAGAAGGACCCACAACTGAAAATGTACAACTATGTACTAGGGGCTTTGGGGAGAAAAAAGGAAAATAAAATCTTTAAAAAAAAAAAAGCAAAGCAAAGCACCTCTTGGGCTTCCAGCAGCTGGACTGAGACAACATGTGTACATCAGAGATGACAAGGCATCTACACCTGGAGGCTAAGGGATGCTTCAAACTGCTGGGGACAGCGTCTGGTTGTTCTGGGTTCAAACATCCCTGTTTTTTGTTTTTTTTTTGAGGAAGATTAGCCCTGAGCTAACTCTGCCTCTAATCCTTCTCTTTTTGCTGAGGAAGACTGGCCCTGAGTTAACATCCATGCCCATCTTCCTCTACTTTATACGTGGGACGCCTACCACAGCATGGCTTGACGAGTGGTGCCATGTCCGCACCCAGGATCTGAACTGGCAAACCCCAGGCCGCCAAAGTGGAACGTGCAAACTTAACCGCTGTGCCACGGGGCTGGCCCCCTAAACATCTCTGTTTATATAAGGTCTGGAGGCCACCACTGACTGGCTGGGTCACTTTACAGTTCACTACAGTAGGGGATGATGTGACCTTTGGATTTTGCATGTTGGGGGAACCTTGGGAAAATCAGGTGAGGATTCAGCCTGAGGTGGAAATGCTCAAGAAAACATCTACAGGCTGGGGAGGTGGCACAAAAAAGTTGTAAAGTGCAGAGGCATTTGAGAGACGTGTGACCTGACGTGGGGGGAAGGGTTGGAAGGGGAGAATAGAGAGGGTTGTCACGCAGGCAATAGCCAGATTTGGAAGAGCCTGTATGCAAGGTCGGCATTTGGAGTCTGCCATGGGGAGCTACTGAAGTGTGTGTTTTTTGTGTTTTTTTTACTGAAGTGAAAAACCAAAACTTAAAACTTTACTGAAGTTTTAAGTAAAGGAGTAATATGATCAGATATTTTGTAAAAGAAAAATCATTCTGGGCACAGTGTGGAGAATGGAACAGAGGACTAAGAGTGAGCAAAAAGGCCAGTTAGAGGTTATTCCTGTACACCAGTGAGGTATGATATGGTGATCTGGCGAGGCCACAGCATGGTGGTAATAGAAATGGAGAAAACAGGTGGGTTCCAAAGATATGTAAGACTTGGTCATAAGGCTGTATGTGGGGGGAAGGCAGAAGCAAGTGTCTAGGTTTCTTGCTTGGGCAACAGGACGGATGGGGAAGAATGCAAAAGGAGCAGGCTTGTGCAGAATAGGAATTCTATTTTAGTCACGTTGAGCCGGAATTTGGAGTGAACTCATGACCACAGCTCTTTTCCACCCTATTGTTGCTTTCACAGGAATGCTCCAAAACGGGAAGAAATTTGATTCATCCAGAGACAGAAACAAACCTTTCAAGTTCAGAATTGGCAAACAGGAAGTCATCAAGGGTTTTGAAGAGGGTGCAGCCCAGGTAAGATGAGGATCCTCGTTAAGGGGGATTTGAGGAGTTGGGGTCTGGGCTCGGCACTTTGCCCTCCACCCTCGCCCCATCTCAGACCACTACTGCTTTGACTCTACTGCCAGGGCATGGTGACGCCAGCTAGTTTCAGTCCTGGCTTTGTGTCCCCACCCCTTTTGTTGCCAGCAGGACTCCTTTGTGTCACTGGGGGCTCTTCTCTCAAGCACATCCTCCCAGGCTTGTGCGCAACTAGCTGAGGAGGCCTGTGAGCTACCAGCTGTCAGGGACTGAAGCAGCAGAAGAGTTGGGGTGGGGTAGGCCAAGTTTAAAAAACAACTTCAGATTTCCAAAAATATTGCAGACATAGTAGAGTTCCCATATACTCTTTACCCAGCTTCCCCAAATGTTATTTTACATAACCATAGTTTAATGATCAAAAACAGGACAGTAACATTGATACAATACTATTAACCAATCTATTCAAATTTTTGAGTCAGTTATTCAAAATTTAGAAATCGATTTATTCCAATTTCACCAGTTGTTCCACTAATGCCAGGTGGGTTCTTGATGACTGCTATGATGAGCCCTGGTTCAAGCTCTTCCTGGGTCTGTGAAGCCAGACGATGCTCCATTAGAATAGGTTTCTTAGCCCTCCCCACCTTGCTGTGGCCTCTAATCTCTTAACCTCTCGAGTGAACTGCTCTCATCACCTACTTGAGTGTGTGCATGTACATGTGCTCTTGGTACACCCTCTTTAGGCTTTTTTGGAAGAGGGTGAGGAACAAATATGAGCAAATATGTGTTTGAGTCATACACTAATTGAATAACCAGCAATGTTTGTTGGATGAATGAATTTGAGACTACTTTGTGGAAGTTAGTGTCCCACAGTCAAGTCTTTGCTAGTTTGAGGCAAAAATCTGCATTTGTTACAACTCTTAGCACAACTTCATTATGCCACGTGTAAAATTCATCTCAGATTTTTAAAGTTACTATGAGGATGGTTTGGGAAAATGCCATAGTTATCATACTTTTTTCTTTTAAATCAAGCTGGGTCCTCTTTCTCCTCTCCCCATCTGCCCCCACCCCTGCTAGATGAGCTTGGGGCAGAGGGCGAAGCTGACCTGCACCCCTGATGTGGCGTATGGAGCCACGGGCCACCCCGGTGTCATCCCTCCCAATGCCACCCTCATCTTTGACGTGGAGCTGCTCAACTTAGAGTGAAGGCAGGAACTCGAGGTGGCTGGAGACGGCTGCTGCTCACCCTCCTAGCCTGCTCTGCCACTGGGACGGCTCCTCCTGCTTGGGGCTCTTGATCAGTGCGCTAACCTCACTGCCCCACGGCATTATCCATTCTCTGCCCAAGTTGCTCTGTATGTGTTCGTCACTGTTCATGCGCATCTTTGCTTGAAGAAACTTCGGTTGCAGATTGAAACATTTCAGGTTGCGCATTTCGCGTGATGCATGTAGTAGCCATTCCTGATCACAGAACATAGATTTCTTGTTCGCACAATCTACACTGCCTTACCTTCACCTAAGCCAGACATACAAGGTGCTCAGACACGAAATGTACATGGTGTACACAGAGGGACTTGAGCCAGTTACCTTTGCTGTCACTTTCTCTCTCAGAAATTCTGTTGGCTGCTGATTTAAACAATGTCCTCTTTGGAAATGATATGTAAAATAAAGGCTCTGTGCTTGACAAATTCCTGTCCATCCTTATTGTAGGTAGGAAGTGCTTTAAGCACCACATACGCAAGTTGCCCTTGGGGAAAAAGAGTGGAAAGGAACCTTCCAAGTAGCCAGGAGGTATTACTTGCTACTCATCTCAGGTTTAGAATTTTCTGAATAACTGAAGGAATATAGTGTGTTCAAATCCCACAGCCTCGCAATCAAATGTGGGATTGGAGCACTTTATGTGATGGATCCTGCAATCTCTGTTTGGACTTAGACTAAGAGGGACGAACTCCCCTCTTCGATAGGAACACTTTGCACGTCTGAACAAATGAAGGTGTGTTAGGCCTTGGAGCCATACACTAACTCACACTAGAAGTTAACTTTTGAAAAGAAATGTGTGATTCTGAGCTTGTTTCCGCATATACAGCTTAGTTTCATCTAGATTTAGTCTAACTTACATTGGGCAATTACTTCTCATAAGAACGTGATTCTGAACTTGTTTCCACATGTACTGCTTATTTTCATCTACATTTACTGTAACTCATGGGAATTCTCAGTTAGGTTTTAAAATCAGCCACTTACTATTGTGGGTTGTGTGTATGTCAAAGGAGCCTGGGGCAGTGTGGCTAAGAGATTTTTCTTTAAGTTGGTATAGGTGAGAAAAGCTCTTAGCCATAGTCAGGGTTATTCTCAGTGATGACTTGGAGTTGTTTCAAGATTGAGGAGTGAGGGGCTAGTAACAGGTGCTGTTAGTTTCCTTCATAGACTCATTGATGCATGTCACATGATGTCATATGTATGATTCAGGGCCACATCACTTTGGCTATTTCATCTACCCCTTGTGTCTTTAAGAAGTCCTGGCTGTATTCCTCTGCTGAGGATTGAGGAGTTAATGAAGAGGCAGTGCTTTAAGACGCAGACAGTGAAATGAGAAAGGGGCTGCTTTGCTGTTAATCACTCAGTTCCTGGGCTCACCTCTATCATGGGACCAGACCAGCACTCATTCCTTTCTGGGGTATTTCCTTCAGAATGTCTTGGTTCCCACCTTTCTTCGATGACACATGTCTATTATAATTTCTCAGAACTCAGCCTGTATAAAAGACATATTCATGTTTTCTGCTGTGACACCACTAGGATAATTAAACATGGCACCAATGACCATTTTAGGTGCCCATTATGGATCTCAGTCTAGAGTATTTATAGCCTAGGTGGTAACAGGAGACATTCAATTAAAAAAAAGGCAAATACCTACTAGCTAGCAACTGGAGAGCATACGGTAGGCTTTGCAGGCCCTCTTTTACTGGCACTCTTAAAAGATAACGCAGAAAATTATGAAGCAGGATGCTAAAGAGTCTGGACACTGTCCTGTGAGAGCTAATGAAAGCTGTTAAGCAGGAGAGTGATGATGAGATCTGTGTCATTCCTATCAGTCATTTTTAAACTTTCAGTCAATGAATTCTTTATTCATACAAAGTATTTTCTTAGAAAGTCAAATTTAACCTGGATGAATGTAAAGCAGCTCTGGCACATGTGTATGCACACACATGCATGTGGATACAATCATCCCCTGTACTTTTTTTTTTTTTTTTTGGAGGAAGACTGGCCCTGAGCTAACATCTGTGCCCATCTTCCTCTACTTTATATATGGGATGCCTGCCACGGCATGGCTTGATAAGCGGTGCATAGATCTGCACCTGGGATGCGAACCGGCAAACCCCGGGCCACCAAAGCAGAATGTGCTAACTTAACAGCTATGCCACCAGGCTGGTCCCATCATCCCCTGTACTCTTAAAAGCAGTTTGAAAAACGAGCCTTAGATATCTGGTGCAGAGGACCAATCCTGTGTCCTCAGCATCTTAGTACACACAGACTGGCAAGTAGTAGGTGCTCAATATTTTCCCACTGAATTAAAGTTCTTGTAACTTGAGATAGGTTACAAAATTTCTGAACAATTAGAGGGTTTTTTGTTTTTGCTGAGGAAGATTAGCCCTGAGCTAACATCTGTGCCAATCTTCCTCTATTTTATGTGGATTGCCGGCATAGCATGGCTGACGAGGGGAGCAGGTCTGCACCTGGGATCTGAACCCGAGAGCCGAGGCTGCTGAAGAGGAGTGCACTCAACTTAACCACTAGGCCACAGGGCCAGCCCCAAGAGGGCATTTTTCAAACTCAAGTTTAGGTCAAGAAATTCACCTAACAGATATATTAATTCAAATGATGGACTGGCCATAACTGTCAATAGAGGGAATTTCCCCTTATTAATTTAAAACAACTATACTAGAGGCAAGCCAGTCTGCCATCTAGACAAAGCACACTATAAGAAACTCTAATTTGTTTTCCCCTTACAAAAAAAGTCTTTTAGGAAATTCTTTTTACATTTGTAAATATTAAAGGCACACTGTGCATTACAAAATTTAAAAAGAATTCATAAAATCATTCACAAGAAAATTACAGCCGTGGCTCCTTTGTCATCTGCCTGCCCTTCTTAGAAATGACTCTTTCTACTCTTTTACAGTGCTTTCAAAAAGCACTCAGACGTAATTAATAAATAAGACAACTACTTCTTCCTTTTCAATAGTAGGCTTTGAGAAAACAGTACAAAAATATAAAATACCCTATTTTGTTAAAGTAATGATAGATTTCGAAGCTAAATGCATTTAAAAGTAGAATAGATGCTCTTTGTCCATTTAAATGATTCAGTGCTTGTACTCTTCAAATTAATTTTGGGTTATAGTTATATATAAAACAATTAGTCCATGTTTTTCCATTTGGCCCATGCCTAAACTATAAAAAGAAAATTATAGCTATTTCCTCCAAGCTGCCAAGCTATGATGAATGTGGCAATAACCATACTATTTCCATGCCATGGGAGGTCATGATTATAAGAAGCAGCATTAAGTATTTTATTTATGGCAAAGATATACTATGACCTAACGTCCAAAATATACACAGACACTTATTAACTAAAGGGAAAGACTACATAAATATAATCTTAGACACATAACAACGAACACCACTACCCAAGCAGCTTGCTCTCAAATTTCTAACAATGTGCTGTCATCTGAATGGCCATTTCTCGAATAGACTTCTGTTCTAAGGACAAGGGTAGCCCATATTGACAAAGGGGTTTTGTTAACGGTAAAGCAGTATTATTCAAATGTACTCTTGTAGTTAATACCTGGTTGACGTTACAGCAACTTTTTATGTAGGCCTTTTATTCATTCAAACAACGTGATAAGCTTTGGTTTCTTTATCTGCAAAATGGAGATACCTACCTTCACTGACTTGTTATGAAGATTTCATTATTAATAGACAGTCAATAAATGACAATACTCTAACAAGTTCCTTTGATGGCTCAGCACTTGGACTGGACAGTGAAGGCATTAAGAATACAAAAAGGTCCCTGTCCTCAAGAAGCTCAGTCTTTAGGACCACCTACCACTGAACAATTCTTGATATGGTTCAATCGCTGGGTTTTTTTTTTTTCTGGTATCAAACAGGAAGGGAAAGTTCAAGAGAAAACACTGGCATGTTTTACGGTAAGCTACAGGTTTATTAACATAATATATTCTAACATATATCAAAGTTTCAAGCAGGTCATTTTGAATCTCAAATAAGAAATCACAATATTCAGTATTAATTAAAAACATAAAAAGGGTAAGTGGTTGCCACTCATGGGTCTTAGTCCAAAATGAAAATGCAGAAAACTTTTACTTTGGTGGATCTGTGTTGATGCCATATTTCTCCTTGAGAAGCTTCAACTGTTCTTCCTTCTTCTTTGTGTCCATCTTCTGAAATGCCTGAAAGTGGTAAGCACCAAAGTTAACAGTTACTGATCTGCAGTCAAATGAATTTCACCAACAGCACTACGTAGAACTGAGTACACATCTCCCCTAATGGTACAGTTCTACACTAATTCTTACATGGGATCCCCGAGTGACGAAACCATCGCGATACTTACCCTGTTGGCATTATAGTACAAAACCACGAGGTATCTGTTACACACATTGAATCCTGACAGGTGATCACACGCGTTCTTGGCATCAAAGATGTCTTCATAGACCACATAAGCTGTTCCTCTAGTTTCAGGTGTGTTTCCCCTGAAGAGTTGAATCAGACTTAATTAAAATACACATTTACCTGAAAACTATTAAAGGAAATAAACATTATGGATAGGTATGCTGGATAAGCCTGTAATTCCTTGAATTAGGTAATTTTTGTTTTCATTTTAAGTTAAATGGCTACAGGTTAGACTTACTGTTATATCAAGAATACTAATACAGCTCCTAAAGCAACAGCAGCAAAGACTAGCTTGAACCTTCCGTCTTCATGTTACTGTTCTACTTTCCTACTTCACATACTAAGAACCAATCTTCAGTTTCACACTGAAAAGTACAGTACTTAGGAGTGATGGTTCCTTTTTTTTTTTTTTTGAGGAAGATTAGCCCTGAACTAACATCTGCTGCCAATCCTCCCCTTTTTGCTGAGGAAGACTGGCCCTGAGCTAACATCTGTGCCCATCTTCCTCCACTTTATATGTGGGACACCTACCACAGCATGGCTTGCCAAGTGGTGTCATGTCTGCACCCGGGATCCGAACCAGCGAACCCCGGGCCACCGAAGCAGAACGTGTGCACTTAACCGCTGTGCCACTGGGCCGGCCCCAGGAGTGATGGTTCTTATTAGTTAGCAATGTCTAGAATGGGTTTTTTCTTACTGTGCATTTATGCAACAGAACCAATACTTTATTTACCACACTATAACCTAGAAACTAGGCCCTTGTTTCTAAAAATTTAGATTTTCTTTTTCAACCCTAAAATTCTTAAAGGGCAAGATCTCCATCAATGTAGGAAATAAATGTTTCTAGGCAGTATTTGATAACAGTTTATCAAATACATAGAAATAAAACCTATTTTGTGTCTTTGGGGGGTGGGGTGGGAAGGAAGCCCCTACCAGGAATATGGTGAAATTATAAATAACATATATGTAAGAAAACAGTCAACCATCATCTTTTATGGCCAGGAAAGGATGTCTTCTAATATAAAGAGAGCGTTAATGTAGTTTCATCCACTTTTCTTAGGTTCTTTGCCTTTTTAAAATGCAATATAGTCAGCCCCCTACCTTCATACATTCATTTTTAATACAGTCTGCGCTCTCATGCATTACACAGCTCCATTTGGCTGGGGAAAAGGACTGGGCTTCTGGAGAGACTGTGGTGGAAGTGTACTTGTGGGTGTAGTTATCTGCGAGCCAGAGTAGAATGCTGGAAGGCAGCTGGAAGTGGAAGCTGGACTTTGCTCAGATATGGGGCTGCTTCTTGGGTAGGTGTTTCTTGCCACATGCTCTCCTCACCTCACCAGCTTCCATTAGGGGAGGAGGAAGGGAAGTGTGAGGAGCAACAAACTGCAGGCAGCAGATGGCCATGTGCTTGTGAGGACAATAGGCACAGGACCCACTCAACTTATGCTGTGATATGATAAAGATGGACCCCTTGCCTCCATCTGTGTTCCCGCCACACAGCGCAAGTGTGGCATAAGGCTTAAGACTGTGGGCTGACACTCCGTCTGCCATAGTCCCTGCATAGGGTTAAGGAAAGGTAATAGGCCCATGAGACGGGGAGGCACCTGCCTAGATTTGATCTAGAATGAGCCTGCAGTCTTGGGTCCCAGCCAAGAGCCTGTGCTTCCTATAAAAGAGGAATGGATAGGTATAGGGTGCTGGGCTGGTTGGAGGGTGCCAGTGTCATTGAATGCTCTCACTTTGTCAGGCTGCATGGGCCTGATGAGGCATTTTACATTTTACTCTCTGGGAATAGCACTTAGTATTCCTAAGTATTGTTCTTTCAGACATTTGACTTTTAATCATTTTCAAGAATGCATTAGGTATGAAACTAGGGGACTACCCAAAGGAAAAAACATTGTCCCAAAGATTTCCCCCAAAAGTCTACCTAATTTTCTCTTTGGAATAAAAACAAAAAAAACTTAACAAGATTTTAACTGCCTTAAGGGAAATACAGTCTTATATTTCATTTTACCCCCACAGTGCTATGCATACAGCAAGTGCTAATAAGCATCTGAAGGGTGGAGATCCACTTTCTCCTATCCATTCTCTCACACATTTTTTCTCCAGGAAGCTAACAAAACAAAACAAAAGCATCTCTCTTCCTCTTGCATCTTCTCAGAAAGTAGAACAGGGATGGGCACTAACCCCATTTTAAAGACTCTCCATCTTAAGTGGCCTAGCCCATAATTATCAACCTAATATCTTGAGAACCACATTGTAATTTTAATTTTTCAAAGCATGTACTTGGTACTTACTAAATGTTAGGCACAGAGCCAACATTATTTTCTCCATCGGTGGTTAGATTAGAGTAGGAATAAGAAAACCTAATCATGTTACTTAACCTCTCTGGGCTTCAGTTGCTTCAGGTGTCAAACAGTGACATCAGGCTCTATCACCTGCCCTCCTTTACATGTGGTTTTAAGAATTAAAAGAAGTAACAAGCATGGAAGGGCTTTAAAAAGTTCAAAGCACCGAGTGTCCACTACATGCCAGGTGAGGCGACCAATCATCCCAGTTTGCCCAAGACTGTCCAGGTTTTAGCACTGAAAAGTCCATGACCCCAGACAACTCCTTGGTCCTGGCAAACTGGGAAGGTCAGTCACCCTGGTGCTAGGTGCCACGTATGCTATAAAGCATGATCACACCTATGGAAGAGAAAACACCTCTTTCTCTATCTATAATTTAGACCCAAGTTTCTGCACAACAAACTTTTATGAATTTATTCAACAAATATATATTGTGTTCTTTCTATGTGATAGGCATTGGAAATACAATAGTGAAAAAAGACAAGCATCAGTCTTCCCCTTCAAGGAGCTTTATTCGAGCAGGAGAAAGACATTAAATAATAAATATAAGATAATTATAGTTCATGAGAAATATTATAAAGGAAGTAGAGAGCAGTGACGAAGACTTTTTTTTTTTTACATTTGGGGCTTTAGTTTTACTCTGGCACCCTTAGCGATAGTACAGTCAATTATTTCTGCCACTGTCTTTTTTCTGACACTGTGTTTTTATGATCATTATTAACATCCTCCATACTCTTTTGAGTGACAGAGATTAATGGGAGGACAGGGGGCTACTTGAGATAGGCTGGTGAAGGAAAGCCTCTCTGACACTGAAGCTGAGACCTGAAGAATGAGGAGCCAGATATGAGATGAGCCAGGTGAAAACCATTCCAGACGGAGGAACTGCAAGTGCAAAGGCTCTGAGCTTCCCTACTCTTCTAAAGATGCCACGGTTTTATCACTGTCCTTTTGTCTTGGCTTTCTGAAACATCCTCTAACTTCACTGATGCAGGCATCTCTTAATTGTGAACTATCAATAAATTTTGTAATACTTTGATAAGTTAATCACAACTACACTAGCATTTTCTACATTATTCATTTACTTATACACATTGGGTGCTTAACATGTATCAGGCACACAAAGCAAAAACAATATATGGTACCTGCCCTGGAGAAGCTCACAGGCTGGCAGGAGAGAGAAGTGAGTACACAGATGACAGCAAAACCGTAAGTGAACACCAAGAAGAGATGTTCATAGAAGGTGCTATGAGAGCAAAGAGAAGGGGTGGCTAGCACGCTAGGAAGGAAATACTCAATGACGAAGTGTTTTCACAGGCAGTCTAATTTGATCCTCACAAAAATTCTTTTCGGGAGATTGTGTTTCATAGATAATTGTAGTCCAGAGGGGTTAAACATTTTGCCCAGTTTCACATGTCTGGCAGGTACCCCTTGAGTATTGAGGTCTTATAACCAATCCAGTAAATTTATCATGCTACCTCCATGTTAAAAGCTGAAAGGTGCTGTCCATCTAGATTATTTTACATGTGAGGAAACAGAAAACCAAAAAAGCCAGACAATGTGTCTAGGGTCACATGGCTAGTAATAGGGCCTTAAGAAGATCTTGTCTCCTGATCCCCAAATCAGGGAATCTTCTGTACACCTTCTTGTACGTCTAGAACAGGGTTTCTTAACCTAGAGTCCATGTACCCCCTGTAATCATAGACAAAATGCTGTGTGTATTCTTCTGTGGAAAAGGTCCAAAGCTTTTACCCAATACTGGAAGGACTGAGACTTCCTAAAAAGGACAATGGTCTCTAAGGCTTCATTTTCATTTCCATTAGAGTACCAACGATGATCTATTTCCAGCTCTTGGTTTACTTTCTGGAGGGACAGTGATCATTCACAAGGAGAGTCCTCAAGATCTCACAGAGTTCTAAAAGCCAAGAAGGAGCTCTCAGGTCATAAAAGAAAATTTATTAATAGAGAGATAGTCCAACTAAAAATAAAAACCTTAGAAATCCTCAGATGGACTTTCAGGTAATCAGCCCATTTATACTAGTTAGAGTGATAGCAGCTGTGGTACTGTGTGGCGATTCAATTGAGAATCAGAAGATTTTATCACTAACTAGCTGTGTAAAGCTAGAAACGTACTTTTAATCTCTGGGCTTTGGTAGTCTCACCCGTATAACAGACACAGTATCACCTCCACACAGGGCTGTAGTGTTGGTGATGCAAATAAAAGTACCTATTACAACAAATGGCATTTAGTAGGTGTTCAATAAATATCATTTGAAGGTATGAAACCCAATCTTGACATTAAATTTAAACATGAATTCTTTTTGTAATTATTTCCCCCTACACTTTAAAATCTTCAATAGAAAGCAAGAGTTGAAAAAAGTCATTTTTCTCAGTTGCTTTTATACCCTTTACCTCAGTTTATCCACAAACTCTGGAGTCAGTAAAGGAGACAGTGAAGACTACTGAGAAAATTCAACTTAACACATATAAAAAACATAGTATAGTACTTGACTTTACAAATAGTGGGTATGCAATAAATCTTAGTTCTTTCTCTTCCCATCCATTCCCCTGAAACCACTGACCACTACTTCATGCTCTCTATAATTTCTCAACTACTGCTTTTGGCTCTCCGCGAGCTGGATCACGAGGGCCTCAGTAGGTATTTTTCCCTACAAAAAAAAATCTCATTTCCCTGATTTCAATCTGTTAGTCTCTAGGCTTTTGCTTAGGGCTGCCACCCTGCACAGCCTGTGAAGCCAGACATGGTGGCCCCACTGTCAGCTATAATGCTGAGATTATAGATTACGCAATCATTTTCTTTAAATGACATTTCAAGTCTCAGTAAGACTCACACTCTGATTTGACGAATAGGTCCATATTTTCCAAATATATCATACATTTCTTCAGCTGTGATTTTGTATGGCAAATTTCTTATATACAAAATCCGGTTTACTTCAGGTGGAAGTCGAATCTAAAATGAGACAGATGTATTGTCATTATAATAAGGGGCAGGAGTGCTACAGCTTAAAAAAAAATCTCAATGATACATAAGAAAATAATATATAATAAAAAAAGCCAGGAATAAGAATTATAATCTGATATTACTGAAAATGGCATGCTCTTTGGAAAAGCAACTGAGCACTGGTTTGAGGGAAGACTAGTTGTAGGCACTAAGAAAGGGGCTCCTATACCACCCAGCCTTTCAGTCCTACAGCTCAACAAGGATTTCCAGCCTCATTTAAAAGTCCTTAGTGCCTCAGACTTGTGAGGGGAAAGAACAAAGGGAGCTGTTCCTGTTTGCTAGACAATAAAACTCCCGCTGATGACTCTTCTCTGGTCTTCTCAGGAATGTGTTCCATCAACAATCTCCTCTCTAGAATTTACAGCCTTTCCCTCACCACTGGCTTTCTTCTGCTCCTCAAGTGAGCAGTTGCTTATGTCCTGCCAATCCTTACACACACACAAAAATACTTATTTGGATCCCTCTTAATTCATTCATTCATTCAACAAATATTTACTGAGTGCCTTCTTTATGTATACACCAGGCTAGGTATTAGGATTACACAGTGAAGGAAAAAAAGACAAGGTGTCTGCTTTCCCTGGACTTATTGGCTTCCTACTTATTATCCTATCTTGCTTTTTTTTGTCAGTCAAGCATTGGGGAAGAGGAAGTGTAGATTGACAATGATCAACCTACCACAATCTAGCTTCCACCCCAGCCCCAGCACTCCGCTCAAGTGCTTTTGCTCCCTAAGACCTTTTAATTGCAGTGCTCAATTCTCATCATACTTAACTTCTCCAATGCTTCTGACACTTGACTATTACCTTCTCGACTATTCTTGACACTATTTCCTTGGCTTCCTTCTAACTTTCTGGCTAGTTCTTCTCAGTCATCTTTGCCATTAAAATATGCTCTTCCACATCGTTTTATCTTCAGACTTCTTTTCTTGACTCTCCGTATACTTCCTGTAACTCTGTACTCTTTGGTCTCTTAACCACACACATGGTTTCTACAGTAAGTTGATGATTCTGAAACATGTACTGCTTGTCCAGATTTCACTCCTGTGCTCCTGATTAACATATTCAATTTCATACTGGACATTAATGCGCTTAATAACTATTACACTGGCAACGATTTCAGGCATTAATCTAAGTGTTGTATAAATGAAAGACTAAGACACTTATCCTCTGCCCTCAAACTAGTGGTGGTGACAAATGGCAAGCAAATAAGTACAATAAAGTTTTAGATTTTAAGATTCAAGATTAAGTTCAAGCAGATGATCAACACTGCCAATCTTAATAGACTTCTCTAGTAAATCTGCTTTCTCACCCTGCAAGACACTGTATCACACTTCGTCTTCTCTCCTCAAACCTTACCACCACCACTCCCTCTAACATCCAAGTTGGACTGTATCGTCTTGCCTGCCCATCCTAGGAGATGACCTTCGCTCCTGCTTCTTAGAGAAAATAGATATAACCAAATGTTAAGTGCCTTATATTTGTATCACTAAACCCACCAATCTACATTCAGCCATATCCACCACTTTCCCTCTCATTACTATGCCACCCTTCACCTACTGGAAACTTCACTCCTGAACTTAACCCATCTTTCTCCCATATCATCAGTTTCTCCACTCTACTGGATCATTCCCAATGGCATATGAATACACCAAATCACACATCTTAAAAAAGAAAAAACTCAACTATCATCCAATTTCTCTACTTGCTATTTACATGAAAACCTGTGGAAAGAGCTGTCTCCATTTTCCCAACTTCCACACTCTTTTCATCCCACTGCAACCAAGTTTTCATCCACCGAAATGACCATCATCAAGGTTACCAAAATTCTCCATCTCACCATGGCCAATTATCCGTCTTTATCTTACTATACCTCTCAGCGTCTTACAGTTGACCACTCTTTCTTGACACAATTTCTTTTATGTTTCTATAATTCCCCACTCTAACACTAGAATGTTAAGCAGAAGGATTTTTGCTTTATCCACTGTAGAATCCCCAAAACGTAGACTAGTGTCTGGCGTATAGCAAGTGTTCAATACTATCTCGCAAGTCTGGTACATGGTAGGTGCTCAAAAATATGTTGAACTAAAACATTAATGAAGATCCAAAAAGCTCCATGATCCGAGGAGAATCCCAGGCTCTAGTTGCCTGTGAACTATTATTTACTGGGGACTCATCTGTGCTATTGACTTTGCAGCGAGCAGAAGATCCCGACGCCAGGTCCTAAGTGCGGTCAAGCAACAAAAGCTCAGGCTAACAGTATCACTGACACTAGGCTAGAGACTGAAGGAACTCTCCAAAGGGGCAGGGCGGAAGTGTGGCTCAAGGAGCACATCCATAAGGACGGGCCGGGATGGAATCCCCTGGGATAGGATAGTAGATGCTCGGCGTCCCCGCCCTGGGGGCCGGGGAGGGGCGAGAATGCTCAGATCCACGCCGCTGAGAAAGCCCAGCAGCGAAGTCCTCACCGTCCTCGGCAGAAGCCTCGATACTCACATTCGCCCTCTTGGCCGCTTGCATCGCCATCTTGGCGGGCTGATGAGGTTACCGCAGCAAATACTGGAATTCCTCCCAACACCTCCGGAGCTCGCTCAGCTTCGAGCGCAACAAGGTGTCAGATACGGGACACCAACGTCCAGCCTCCGCCGGAAGCTTTCTAACGCGTCGGAATGTCGCCGTCTCACGCCGAGACGTGCTGACGTATACTTTCCTTCGGAAAGACTCCGGGCACAACGAGCCTGAGGTAAAACGCAGGCCGGAAGGTAGAAAGTCAAGGGTCCCAGACGCTTCCGAGCTCTGGACCGGAAAAGGCGGGGCCTGGCCTTTAGAAGGGGAGGTGTTCCGGCCGGGTGGCCGCGAGCAGAGGAAGCTGGCCGGAGGGGGCGGGGCCTGAGGAGAGCGGGCGCGGCGGAGAAGTGCCCAGGTGAGTTGCGGGAGAGGGCGGGGCCTGGCGTGGGACGTGGGACCGCGGCGACCGCGGCGACCGCGGCTGGTGCGAGGGACTTGTGGGTGGGCCGCATCCTCTTTCAGCGCGCAATGCAGCCCTACAGCCTTCTGGCTGGTTATGTGGTGGCCCACTGTGTATCCTATCCGTAACCCCCCCCCCCCCCGGCCTCGGCGCAGCCCCGAAAGTGGAGCATCAGCTCATCGGGCCTCTCCTGTAACCCTCGCGGCGACGCCCGCCCCGACGCCCACCTCAGCCCCGCCCAGGCGGCCTCGGTCCGCGCGCTAGGGCCGCCATAGTGAGCCGGCCACCGGGTTTCAAATCCACTCTCTCTTTTATTTTCTTAGCCCGGCTTTGCACGCATCATGTGACGAGGCCGGGGGTGGGGGGGACCCGTGGGTTACACGCGGGCCCGGAGCAACACCCGGCCTCTTGCCCGCGCACAGTGAGTTTTCTTCACGTTTGCTCTGGGAAGGCCTGAGGTAGCCGTGTCCTGTACTGCCTCCTCGTCCTTCACTGGGGCAGCTCCAGGACGATCTTGCCCACGTTCTTGTTAGTCTCCATGTGCGCATGGGCCTCTTGGATTTCAGTCACGGGGAAGACTCTGTCCAGAACCGGCAGTAGACGTTGGGGGCCCTCGGTGGAGAAGTGGGGCAGAATTTGTTCTGTGAAAGCCTTCACCAGCATTTGCTTGTACTAAAACAAGGAAAAGGAGACCATCAGCCCAGGCAGATACCTTACCTTGCCACTCCCCATCCTGCTTGGCCCTTGTGCTCTGAAACGTGTACACATCTGAAAAGCACACAGGGAACCTAACCACTTCACCATCAGCATGTATGTGTATATCCCCAAATATGTAACCTCTGTTCTGTACCAGATAAAGACCGAAGCCTGGTGGCCCGCCGGTGCCTGAAGGTTAAGTTTGGGCCCTCTGGTTGGCTGCCCGGAGTTTCCCCCGTTGGGATGCTGGGTTCCCACCTAGCACTACTCATCAAGCCAGGCTGAGGTAGCCTCCTGCATAGCAGAGCCAGAAGGACCTACAACTAGAATATACAACTGTATACTGGGAGGCTTTGGGGAGTAGGAGAAGAAGAAGAAAAAAGAAGGTCGACAACAGATGTTAGCTCAGGGGCCGATCTTAAAAGGAAGAAAAAAAAAGACTGAAGCCTGCAACAAAATAGCATCAATGACAGCGGCCGAAGGACTGTTTTTTAAAATAAAGGCTTCAAGCAGGAGGCAGCCACAGACAGGATTTACAAAGGCTCAGTTCAAAAGGGATGTTTAAGCTCTGCTATCCCCTAGCAGGTGTGAAACCCTATTTTGGGAAACATTGCCAAAGCTAGTGCCTGCTAGAATGCCATACAGAGATTTCAGGAACATATAATCTGTTGAAGGTAGAGGCATCCTAACCTTATTTACCTAAGAGGCTGTCTTAGCACACTGAGAAGAGTTCTGCCTTTGAAAACAAAGTCTTGGAACTATTAGAAATATTTCCTAATGTGTCAAGGCTTTGTTCCTTCTGTTAGAAAGTTTAAATAATATATAAAGTATTAGCTATGCTCTTGCCAAGATGTTGAGGCTTCTATTGAGTAATTTTCATTAGTTCTGTGAAATTGGGTTACCCATTTATCCACAAGGGGGCAGATTTCTACATAGGCTCCCTAACTTAAGATGTGACAGATACTCCTTTCTCAGGGTGATATAAAGGAATCATACTTTCCTGGGTAATAGTTAAATAACACGTTTTTTTTTCACTCATCACTCACCTTTTTGTCCCTACATCTCAGCCGACTGGTGATCAGACTTCCTCGTTTAAAAAACAGCTTTGAAAACAGAGGCCCACTGACGTTAGCTCCTCCCATCAGACCATAGAGAACCCAGCGACCATCAAGAGCCAAGCAGGTGACATTTTTCTCCCAGTAGGATCCGCCTATGCAGTCTAGAATAATGTTGACTCCAGCGCCTTACACATGAAACACAGATTTGTAATGCTAGTCAGACACAGAAAGCTTGGTGTAAAATAAGATTCCATGGTATATTTGTGGATATATGGGTATAAATAAATACAGGTGCAACTGGTAAATCTACAGTTTGGAACTAGAAACATTGTTTGTAGAAACATTGTTGTAAATGGAGTTTGGGGAGCTGAACTCTATTGTCTATGTGTGCTGTAGTTCATCTTTTATGATCCCTAGCCACACCAAGAGGGAAATGGGGCAACACCATGATCTGGTATTTCCCCTGACCCCTAAGTAGAGAACCCACTGGCACCCAGGCATGAGTGAGAACAGAACAGAGGAGCTACCCCCCACCAAGCTACAGGGCAGGCAATTGTTCACATCCAAGTTATGAAGTGTCTGAACTGGGTTGTCTGAATCGTAGCTTTGCTAGCTTTGGTTTCATCTCCCTTTTTTGACTTCGGTGGGAAAATGGAAAGGATGAGCCAAAAATATACAGATTTGGCTTCGGAATACAGAAGCATGCATATCTACTCACGCATTTAGGGAGCTACCACCCCAACCCTACTATGACCAGCTCCGAACTGGTGTCCGCCCCATGCCTCCTGTTAATTCACTGTAGAGCGGCTGGTTGGGAAGAAGAGGTCCTAGGTAATTCCAAGCCAACTCTGTGTGATTATCCAGTTTCTAAGATGTGTATGAATAATATTAGTTACAAGAATGCACATGGAAACCATTTTAGTCCTAAAGACTGCCTGCCTATCTCCAGTGGTCAAACGCCAGAGCATTAGAATTTGGCCAGGGTAGCTGTTGTGCATTTAGCAGAGGCAAGACAGATCCAAAGCACCGGCACCCTTGAGGCTGGTGAGGATTTTATTTAATCATCTCTGAAATTTCTGCTGAGCTGCAGAAGCTGTTGTTTACCTTTAGTGAATTTCAGTGTTGCTTCAGAAAAATCCTCTTCTTTGTAATTGAATCCAGCAGCTGCTCCGAGCTTTTCTGCCATCTGAAGCTTGTGTTGGGAGCCAGCTGTGACCAGAGGAGTAGCTCCTGCCATCCGAGTGAGTTGGATGGCAGCTGTGCCCACGCCACTTGATCCTGCATGGATTAGCACAGTGTCTCCAGCCTGAACGTTTCCTGTGATAGAAAGTACAGGAACCATCCTCTTTACTGTGCAACTGCTACACATTCTCCACTCAGGCATATTCTACCACGATCATCCGGCCCTGGGACCACCACATGCCAAATCTCTTGCTCTCTTAAGAGAACATATTGTCAGTTCTTATTTTGTCTTATTGCCTCTGGTCAAAGTGGGAAACAACTTTTGAAACAGTTACTAGCAGCCACATCCATAATCTGTGTTTTACCTATGAAATAATAGCAAAACACACATCTCTGACCTATACCCGAATAAGTAAGAATAAGCATCATTCCACTGTCACCACCTGGAGCCCGTCCCTCTTCAGTCTGAAACTGGCCTCTAGCCAGTCTCACTGATCCAGGTACCATGCACAGCCACCAGGCTCCTCCTCCTATAATGGAGCTCTCCTTATGTCACTTTCTCCTTAAAATGTAAAGTGGTTCTCAACTAGCTTTTGCATCAAGTCCACACAGCCTGCCATTCAAGGCCACCAACAATCTAGTCCTAGTCTCATCTTTCACAAATGATAATTGTCATCCTTCACTTCTGAGCAGAGTAGCTGATCTCACCTTGACACTCTTACTTAGGCCACTTTGGCCTGCCTTCTGTCCATCACAACTCTACCCACCTTCTCTTCCAGAAAGCCCTCTCTGACCACCCTTGCCCACACCAGCTTTTCCCATCTTGAGCTTCTATTGTAGTTAGAGACAGCGCCACCCTTCTGAACTCTATGATTGTCTAATTCTTGAGTATGTGTTGTCTTTCCAACTACACTGAACTCCCTAAAGGGAGGGACCAAGTCTCCTTAGGCTCCGTCATGTGAGCTCTTGGCTGGCCTCAGTGGGATTGGGGAAGAATAAAAGAGTTGATTGACTGGCACTTTGTGCTGTACTAGGGCTCCCAGAGAGAAGCTCACCATGACTTTGAGAAGCTGAGACTACTGCTGGGCCTACAGTGTGATGACGTGCACAGGCCTTCTATCTGCTAATCATATTTTCAGCCTCAACATCAAGCCATTGCTAAAATGGTATGAGGACCTGATACTACTGGTGGTATAGTAGGGTGAGGTGCTGGGGCTAGCTGGGGCTCGGTGGCCAGGCCAAAATTGCCCTGGAGGACTGCTGGATTTTGAGGTGGCTGAGTCATGAAGGAATTGAGCCACATTGTATGGAGTGACCATGGGGGGCCTCCTCACCCAAGAGATGTAATAGCTGGAACGCGGTGAGCCAGACCTCTGGGATAGCTGCAGCCTGGGGCAGGGTCAGTCCTGCCGGGATGGGCATGAGGAGCCCTTCAGGGACAGTAACATATTGAGCCTGGCCCCCGCCAGGCAGTAGAGCCATGGCTGGGTCCCCAATCTTCCATTGCCCCTGGCAGCCAGGCCCCAGCTCTACCACGTATCCAGATGCCTCGAGTCCCAGAATGCTGCTGGCTCCTGGGGGTGGGTCATACTGGCCTTGTCTCTGCAGAGAGAGGGGTGCAGTAAATGGTGAGCATGATCAGAAATCTGTCACCGTTCCTGGCCCTCTTCCCATAGCCTCTCTTTTTCTCAGAAAATTCAGGATGAAGTCAGGTTTTGGTGGTCAGGAAAAGAGAGAGGAGAGGTCATTTGCTTTATGTAAATAAGAGACTGTATATGCCGGCCTGGTGGCGCAGCAGTTAAGTGCGCATGTTCCGCTTCGGGGGCCCCGGGTTCACCGGTTCGGATCCCAGGTGCCGACATGACACTGCTTGGCACGCCATGCTGTGGTAGGTGTCCCACATATAAAGTAGAGGAAGATGGGCACGGATGTTAGCTCAGGGCCAGTCTTCCTCAGCAAAAAGAGGAGGATCAGCAGCAGTTAGCTCAGGGCTAATCTTCCTCAAAAAAAAAAAGTGTAGGTCACATAATCAGTAGATGTCACAATTGGTAGAGTTTTTAGCTATTTACTTCATATAAACCCCTTGTTTTACAAATGGAGAAACGCAGACCTGGGCAGAAAAATGCCTTGTTCAAGGTCTCAAAGTAAATTAGTAGCCGGACTAGGAACAAAATGTTTACTCTTTAACGATAGTTCTCATGTATCAAGTGCCAGGTTCTGTACTCACTCACTAGGCCAGAGGGACTGAACTAGAGAGTGTGCATCGGGACATTTGAGGAGCTTTTTCAGTGTACATATGCTGGGTCCCGGCCATGCTTATTTTGAAATGGTGCCCCATGTGATTCTGGTGCACATTTCTCAATTACCCCAACCAATGCAGCTGGCCCAGTTTAGTGCATCAAATAGCAGACCAAAGAAAATTCTTAGAGTACTTCTCCCTGCCAGCTCTGGGACTCTCCGAGTGGAAAGAGTGCAAACTTTGGAGCCACTAAGACCTCAATTTGAGTCACAGCTCCCCCATTACTAATATTGTGGCCCTGGGGTATTGCTAAACCTCTCTGACCCTCAGTTTCTTTATCTGTAGAATAAAAATGGTGAACAAGGTTGCCCGTGGAGTTAATGAGATAGAGCAAAGCCTAACACACACATTCCCTCAACAAATGGTTAGCTCCCTTCTTATCTGAAAGTCTGACCGGACTGTGGGTTAACACAGGGTGGATTCTGTTTTGCAAATACCCCTGTATTTTGTGTAAAAGGAGGCTAACTGATTCTGCCTTAGAGCCCCCAGCACACACTCTGCACACACTTAAGGATGAGTGTTACTGGCTGCGCCCCAGGTCATTCCTTCATCTTTCTGGTGAATGTTTATCGAAGGCCCTAGAGTCCTGCCCTGCCCGACCTGCTGCCTGACCCCTGGGTACCTGGAGTAAGTCCGCCCGGTTCAGGGCGCTGGCCACCACCTTCAGGAGGACTTCACCCTCTCCTGGGCTCGGCTTCTCCACCTCCTTTAGGTAGAGGTTTTCTGGTCCTCCTGGCTTGTCAAAGTGCACGGCTAACATACTCACTCTCTGAGGACACAAGGTAGAACAAGGGAAGGAGCACGGGGTTCTTGGGGGAACCCAGCGCCCCAACAGAAGCTGCAGCGCCCCCTGCCGGCCACGGGCCTCCCTGGTCCGTCTCGGGGAGGTCTGCCCACCAACGCCCCTGCCCCCGCCCTCAAGCTCCTTCCTGCGACGTCCCTGCAGCCTCCAGACAGACCCCACACGGAGAACACAGATTGGGACAGGGTGGAGTGTGGGCGGCCGTACAGGGATGGATGCAGCGGAGCAGGAAAACACGGAAAAGCAGGAGGCCAATTACACTCCCTCTGAGCTGGGCTCCTCCACCCGACCCTGTTCCTCAGCGCACGTGTGGGTGAGTTACTTGCTTGGCCGGGCGCCTCCGCTGCTCCAGGTCCAGGCACTGTCCTGCGCTCCCTGAGGAGTCCTGGTGCTGCCTCCGCCGCGACAGCAATGGACGGCTGTACTCCAATGGACAGCCCAAGGGGTGGGGCTGAGCAGAACCAACCCTCCCCCTCTTCCTTCTCCTTCCCGTCGAAAGTGCAAAGTTACTGACAGCAAATCAGATTTTCTTTTCCTTTGAACCTCTAGAAACTAGTCTTCCTTTCGGTTTGGCTTGAAATGCGATTCCAGCTCTCACTGTGAGAAGAGAAAACTTCCCCCACTCTAGGAAACTAGAGCTGAACTCTCGACGGGCGATCGGTCCGCTGCCCAGTCAGGGCAGCCTTTCAGCCCATTTACGCTGCAGGTCTGGCATCCTGCCCTTCCTGTGGGCAGGCAGCTTGAGTACGGTGGGCAAGCAGGGTGCTGCTGAGAGAAAAGAGAGGAGCATTAGCAAAAGAGAGAAGGTAAAAAGCAGTTGTGGGTCCTTGTCACTTGTGCGCTTCCTCTTGACGTTCCTGGGGATGAGAGAGAGGCCCCTGGAAGATGCTGCCCAATGAGGCAGTTTTGACTGGTTAAAAGGCTACATCAGGGTTTCTCAACTTTGGCACTCTTGACATTTTGGAATAGATCCTTCTTTGTTGTGAAAGACTGCGGTACTGTCTGCAGGATGTTTAAAGACTGTAGGAGGTTTAGCAGGATCCCCGGTCTCGAGCCACTAGATACCAATAATACCCCCATCCAGTCGTGACTGTAAAAACTATCCCCAGACATTGCTCCTGATTAGAAACCACTGGGTTAGAAGAATACACACGTGTGTGCCTGTGCAAAAACAACATAGGTAACATCTTTTTTTATTACATAGCAGTGGCGTATAATTTATCACCTCTTCACATGCATTCTTTTATTTGGTCTCCATAACACTTTACTAAAAAGAAACTGAAATATAGAAAGATTAGTTTGATTTCAAGAGGCACATAGCTGGTGAGTGTCAGAGCCAGGAATCAAATTGGGATCTCCTGGGTTCTTGTCCAGGGCTCTTTGCTCTTTCTACTGTATGGCAGGCTGCTTTGTGGAACAGTCTCTCCTATCAATTACAAAACCCTCTTTCTCTCTTTATTTACATCCCTCTGCTGAGTACACCTTTTGCAAGAAGGTTTTATATATATATATATATATATATATATATATTTTTTTTTTTTTTTTTTTTGGAAGATTAACCCTGAGCTAACATCTGCTGCCAATCCTCCTCTTTTGCTGAGTAATACTGGCCCTGAGCTAACATCCATGCCCATCTTCCGCTACCTTGTATGTCGGATGCCTGCTGCAGCAGCATGGTTTGACAAGTGGTGTGTAGGTCCGCACCCAGCATCTGAACTAGCAAACTTGGGGTGCTGGAGCAGAATGCGCGAACTTAACCACTGTGCTACCAGGCTGGCCCCAAGAGGGTTATGTATTTTTATAAGGCCTTCTGTTTTACAAAAATGCCTGTCAGCCACTGTCCCTCCTGTTGCCATCCATATCAAAGCCATCGTTGCAAGGAAAGGGACATAAGCCAACAGTGTATTCAGAGAAGGTCCATGTGAGGCCTTTTCTGGAACCTGTGTGATAGATCTTTCTTGCTACTTTTGTAGGTAGATTCTGGTGTCTCAGAAGGACCATGTCCCAGGGAGGACAGGAAACCTCTGCTGCTGGCTCCCTGGTAGCTAAAGAATAAGATCCAAACTCAGAAGCCTGGCACTTAAGGTCATATTCTCTCTCTCCTTTCTAGAGAAAGCCTACTCATTCAGGGCCCTGCTTATGCCTCTCCTCTGAGGATTCTCCAGAGGGCATCTTCTCCCCCACCCTCACCCCTTGGTCTGGGTAAGCATCTGAAGAAAAATATCAGAGTTTTTGGACAAGGAGTGGAAAATAGTGGACCCCAGGAAAAAGCTTGACTTGTAGAGATTCGTAGGAAGGTGAATATCTCATGGGAGTGTGCCAGGTCTCTAGCCCCCAGGAGGCTCAGATGGAGCTTAATAGGTGGGCTGAGCCCTCCCTGCTCCTGAGATTGGGCAAGTACAGGGAGTCAAAAAAGCAGGGGGTCCTCTTGCCACCTTATATACCCCCAGCGTACAAAGGTAGAGACCACTTCCCTTTCACCATCTGTGGGCCTGCCATGGTAATTTAGGGTATTCCAACAATGAAAATAACTTATCTAATGGTAGCCAGCAACAGAGTCAAGATCTGTCAGAACAAATGGAATAAATACCCAGCAAAATAGAGCAACTGGAGAGAACAGATGAAAACTTGAAAAAAATAGAAGCAATTGAGAAGATTCAGGGGTACTACAAAAATATTTGTAGAATTAAAAAAAAAAAAAGAGATTTCCCAATTAAACAATTCAGTAGATGCTTTGAAGGAGATGGTCATTGTTGAGACCTGAATTAGTGGCTTAAGAGATTAGGGTCAAGAAATATCTCAGGCAACAGAACAAAAGCTTAAAGAGATGGAAATTCATAAAACGATGAGAAACTTTGAGAATAAATTCTGGAGATCCTGCCATGAGAATAATAAAAGTTTTAGGGGCCGACCCTGGGGCCGAGTGGTGAAGTTCGCGTGCTCCACTTTGGTGGCCCAGGGTTTCGCCACTTCAGATCCTGGGCACGGACGTGGCACTGCTCGTCAAGCCATGCTGAGGTGGCCTTCCACATAGCACAACCAGAAGGACCTACAAATAGAATATACATCTATGCACTGGGAGGCTTTGGGGAGAAGAAGAAAAAGAAAAAGAAAAAAAAGATTGGCAACAGATGTTAGCTCAGGTGCCAATCTTAAAAACAAGAAAAAAAAGAATAGAAGCTTTAGAAGGAGGAAGAGGAATGGATGAAGAAGACTCAGTAGTTCAAGAAGTAACAGAATAAAGTTTTCCTAAACTGGATCAGATTCTACAAATTGAAACGGTTCGCTGAAGTAAAGGATGGATTGATGAGAAAAAAACACACACCTATATTTTGTAAAATTCCTAGTTCTACAAATTTCCAGGTGGAAAGAATAAGTTATCTACAAAGGGTTAAAAAATCAAAATGGCAGGGGCCCACCCAGTGGTGCAGCAGTTAAGTGCACACGTTCTGCTTCGGCGACCTGGGGTTCACTGGTTCAGATCCCGGGTGCGGACATGGCACCACTTGGCTAAGCCATGCTGTGGTAGGCGTCCCACATATGAAGTAGAGGAAGATGGGCACGGATGTTAACTCAGGGCCAGCCTTCCTCAGCAAAAAGAGGAGGATTGGCAGCAGATGTTAGCTCAGGGCTAATCTTCCTTACAAAAAGAAAAAAAAAATCAAAATGGTGTCAAGTTTCTATCTGCATCCTGGAAGCTAGACGAGAGTAAGCTAGCATCTATTGACTAGAAGAAAAAGACTGCAACCCAATCATCTTACACCTAGCTAAGATAGATAAGTTTTTGCATTTGTCAGGGCAAAAATATATTTAAGGATATGCAAGAATTCAGAGACACATCACCCGTTACCTATCTGTAAGTACTTGAATAAAGACTCTAACCAAATAACATGTCAGAACAGAGACAGAGGGAGAGGGAACAGTGGTAAACAACAAACTTTGCGAAATATGTAGAATTAAACTGATTGGATAAAAAACAATTGAATGGGTAAGGATAGACCAGGAATGTGTAATGTAAGTGCTAAATAAGAACTTTTAAAATGTAAGAAATTACTTTGAGGGGAATTCTGAATAATAATGAAGCACTAAATGTACTAAACTATCTTTGCAAAACTAGGAGTTGAAGGTGGTAAAGATCTTACCTTATTGGTGAGTGCCTTCATGGGAAAACAAGGGAGGAAGGAATACAATCTTATGGGGAAATAGATTATATTTAGTAGAAATGTTCTAATGTAGTACATTCATGTAGAAATGATTATGAAACTCAAGAAATGGACAAGAGAACTTCCAAATTAACAAGGGGAAAAAATGGAAATGATAACCACTTAAAACCAGCAAAGGAAATAAAAGGAAAAAGTGAAAATAAAAAGTTTAATAATAAAGTGGCAGAATAAAATCAAGCATAGCAATTATTATAATAAATTTAAACATAAATTCTATTAAAAGTCAGAGATTGCCAGATGACTTTAAAAAGGTAGAATCTATGAAGAAGATATAACAATTATGAGCCTGAATGCATAAAACCAACAAAGCTAAATTAGAAATTCAAGGACAAATGGATAAAACTGTAGTCATAGTGCAAGACGTCAGTACATCACTCTCAGAATTTGGGTGATATAATAGAAAAAAGTTAATGACGACACAGAAGAATTGAATAATGCAATCAGTAAGCTTGATTTAATAAACTTTGCAAATACAGCATATACATTTTAGGTCCATGGATAATTTACAAAATTAGTCAAGTATTTGTCATGAAAGAAAAACCTTAAATTTTAAAAAGCACGAATTTACAGGCCATATTTTCTCAATCACATGTCAATGAAATTAGAAACAAATAATAAAAAAAGGATCCCTTAACCTCCCCAAAAAATCCCTTAATTACTTAGAAAAAACACATTCTGAGATAACCCTGGGATTAAAGTGAATTTAAAAAGAAAAATTAAAAGGTAAAGGAAGGAGGGGCCAGCCCAATGGCACAGTGGTTAATTTCACACATTCTGCTTTGGTGGCCCGGGGTTCACCGGTTCAGATCCTGGGTGTGGACATGGCACTGCTTGGCAAGCCATACTGTGGTAGGCATCCCACATATAAAGTAGAGGAAGATGGGCACAGATGTTAGCTCAGGGCCAGTCTTCCTCAGCAAAAAGAGGAGGATTGGCAGCAGATGTTAGCTCAGGGCTAATCTTCCTCAAAAGAAAAAAAAAATAGAAGAAAAGTAAAGGAAGGAGAATTACGAACTATGTAGTAATAAACAAAAAGAGAATAACTTTAATTGTGTTCACTGTTAAAGAAGAAACATGAAAAATGAAGGAACTAGATATTCATTTACGAAAATAGAAAAGTAACACAAAACAAACTGGAAAAAAGAATCAATAAAAATAAAAGCTGACATTAGTAAAATACAAAACAGACAAGAAACTAG